TGTCACAGTCAGGTACAGGTGTGTTGGATGATGTTGTCACAGTCAGATACAGGTGTGTTGGATGATGTTGTCACTGTCAGGTACAGGTGTGTTGGATGATGTTGTCCCGGTCAGGTACAGGTGTGTTGGATGATGTTGTCACAGTCAGGTACAGGTGTGTTGGATGATGATGATGTCACAGTCAGGTACAGGTGTGTTGGATGATGTTGTCACAGACAGGTACAGGTGTGTTTGATGATGATGATGTCACAGTCAGGTACAGGTGTGTTGGATGATGATGTTGTCACAGTCAAGAACAGGTGTGGATGATGATGTCACAGGTGTGTTGGATGATGAGGTCACAGGTACAGGTGTGTTGGATGATGATGGGGTCACAGTCAGATACAGGTGTGTTGGATGATGATGATGTCACAGTCAGGTACAGGTGTGTTGGATGATGATGAGGTCACAGTCAGGTACAGGTGTTTTGGATGATGATGAGGTGACAGTCAGGTACAGGTGCGTTGGATGATGATGATGTCACAGTCAGATACAGGTGTGTTGGATGATGATGATGTCACAGTCAGGTACGGGTGTGTTGGATGATGATGAGGTCACAGTCAGGTACAGGTGTGTTGGATGATGATGAGGTCACAGTCAGGTACAGGTGTGTGGGTGATGTTGAGGTCACAGTCAGGTACAGGTGTGTTGGATGATGATGTCACAGTCAGGTACAGGTGAAGCTGAGCTGCTGGTCGTCCTCCCCTGTTGATGTCTGTGAATAAAGACATCTGCGGTGACTTCACTTGACTATGGTTGTGTTGACTGTGTGATGCTGCAGACACACTGGAGACATGTGTGTTTGAAGGAGACGACTGGGAGGAGGAGGATGAAGAAGAGGTGAGGAGGAGGAACGAGGAGGGAGTCAGCGCCGCCTCCATGGCGTTTAGTTTCCTTCTCAAACAGAGTTACATCTGCGCCCTGATCGCCATGATGGCCTGGCCCATCACATATGTGTCCTGGCTGACATGTGTCCTGCTGCTCTGGTCATGTGTGCTGTGGATGATGCGAGAGCGTCGCCGATACACGCTGATGTCATCACCCTGGCTAGTCGCCTATGGTAACCTGCTGGTCATCTTGCAGTACGTGTACAGCTTCCCCTCCATCCAGGAAGTCCCCGGACTGTTCCCGAAAAAAGACGAACCCTGCACAGAGCTTGTGTCAAAGGTATGACTGCTGCTACTGCTACTGCTGCTACTGCTACTGCTACTGCTACTACTGCTACTGCTACTACTACTATTGCTGCTACTACTACTGCTATTGCTACTACTGCAACTACTGCTACTGCTACTACTGCTACTATTGCTGCTACTACTACTGCTATTGCTACTACTGCAACTACTGCTACTCCTGCTACTGCTACTACTGCTACTGCTACTACTGCTGCTACTGCTACTGCTACTGCTACTACTGCTGCTACTGCTACTGCTACTGCTACTGCTACTACTGCTGCTACTGCTACTGCTACTACTGCTACTGCTACTACTGCTACTGCTACTGCTACTGCCACTACTACTACTGTTACTGCTACTACTACTGCTACTACTGCTACTGCTACTACTGCTACTACTGCTGCTACTGCTACTGCTACTACTGCTACTGCTACTGCCACTACTACTACTGCTACTACTGTTACTGCTACTACTACTGCTACTGCTACTGCCACTATTACTACTGCTACTACTACTGCTACTATTGCTACTACGGCTGCCACTGCTACTACTGTTAACTAGTTAATGCAGTTGTTGATGTTGTCGTTGTTGCAGTTGTTGTGTCTGGTGACCTTCTGGCTGCTGTTGCGTCAGGCACTGACTGAGAAGAGAGACAGACAGGCAGACACACAGCTCTCTACCATCACCGTCAACATGGGAGGTAAGACACCTGTGTCACTGCTCACCTGTCTACCTGATATCCACCTGTCTCACTGCTCACATGTCTACCTAATGTCCACCTGTGTCACTGCTCACCTGTCTACCTGATGTCCACCTGTCTCACTGCTCACCTGTCTACCTGATGTCCACCTGTCTCACTGCTCACCTGTCTACCTGATGTCCACCTGTCTCACTGCTCACCTGTCTACCTGATGTCCACCTGTGTCACTGCTCACCTGTCTACCTGATGTCCACCTGTCTCACTGCTCACCTGTCTACCTGATGTCCACCTGTGTCACTGCTCACCTGTCTACCTGATGTCCACCTGTCTCACTGCTCACCTGTCTACCTGATGTCCACCTGTGTCACTGCTCACCTGTCTACCTGATGTCCACCTGTGTCACTGCTCACCTGTCTACCTGATGTCCACCTGTGTCACTGCTCACCTGTCTACCTGATGTCCACCTGTCTCACTGCTCACCTGTCTACCTGATGTCCACCTGTCTTACTGCTCACATGTCTACCTGATGTCCACCTGTCTCACTGCTCACCTGTCTACCTGATGTCCACCAGTGTCACTGCTCACCTGTCTACCTGATGTCCACCAGTGTCACTGCTCACCTGTCTACCTGATGTCCACCTGTCTCACTGCTCACCTGTCTACCATATGTCCACCTGTCTCACTGCTGACATGTCTACCTGATGTCCACCTGTCTCACTACTCACCTTTCTACATCCACCTGTGTCACTGCTCACCTGTCTCCCATATGTCCACTTGTCTCACTGCTGACATGTCTACCTGATGTCCACCTGTCTCACTACTCACCTGTCTACCTGATGGCCACCTGTCTCACTGCTCACCTTTCTACCATATGTCCACCTGTCTCACTGCTCACCTTTCTACCATATGTCCACTTGTGTCACTGCTCACCTTTCTACATCCACCTGTGTCACTGCTCACCTTTCTGCCATATGTCCACCTGTCTCACTGTTCTCTGTCTTGTGTCCTTCAGAGGAGCAGAGTGTGGACGAGGCTCTGCAGGAGAAGAAGAAGGAGGTCTCGTATGAGGAGGTGCTGCTCCTCCAGAGAGGTGGTGGAGTTCAGATGGAGGCTCTGGTTGCCGTGGTTACCAGGATGTTTGTTAAATACTGGATCTACGTCTGCGGAACGATGTTCTTCTTCGTTAGCTTCGAAGGAAAAATCGTCCTCTACAAAGTCATTTACATGGTCATGTTCCTGTGCTGTGTCGCCCTCTACCAGGTACAAATACTATACTGTGAGCACTACAAGTACTATACTGTCAGTACTACACATACTATACTGTCAGTACTACACGTACTATACTGTCAGTACTACAATTACTATATTGTCAGCACTACAAGTACTATACTGTCAGTACTACAAGTACTATACTGGGAGCACTACAAGTACTATACTGTCAGCACTACAAGTACTATACTGTCAGTACTACAGTTACTATACTGTCAGCACTACAAGTACTATACTGTTAGTACTACAATTACTATACTGTCAGCACTACAAGTACTATACTGTTAGTGCTACAATTACTATAATGTCAGCACTACAAGTACTATACTGTCAGTACTACAAGTACTATACTGGGAGCACTACAAGTACTATACTGTCAGCACTACAATTACTATACTGTCAGTACTACAAGTACTATACTGTCAGTACTACACGTACTATATTGTCAGTACTACAATTACTATACTGTCAGTACTACAAGTACTATACTGGGAGCACTACAAGTACTATACTGTCAGTACTACAAGAACTATACTGGGAGCACTACAAGTACTATACTGTCAGTACTACAGTTACTATACTGGGAGCACTACAAGTACTATACTGTCAGTACTACAATTACTATACTGTCAGCACTACAAGTACTATATTGTCAGTACTACAAGTACTATACTGTCAGTACTACAAGAACAACGCTGTCAGTACTACAAGAACAATACTCCCAGTGTTACAAGTACTATACTGCCAGTGCTACAAGTACTATACTGTGAGTACTACAAGTACTATACTGTGAGTACTACAAGTACCATGCTGCCATTACTACAAGTACTATACTGCCAATACTACAAATACCATACTGCCGTATTACAAGTACCATACTGAGAGTACTGCAACTACTACACTGTGAGTATTACAAGTACTATACTGAGAGCACTGCGGGTTCCTTTGGAGGAAGAGGTGTTAGGTAGTTCAGAGTTTTTCGACATTTTTTTCAAGTTTCACTGTGTCTCACCTTTCTATCTCACTGTGTCTCACCTGCCTGTGTCTCTGTAGTTGAACTACGAACGTTGGCGTTCCTTGCTCAGGGGATTCTGGGTAGCTGTGGTGGTTTACTCCATGCTGGTTCTCATCCTGATCTACACTTTTCAGTTTCCCTCATCCCCCCACACCTGGAGCTACTACACTGGACTAAGCACTCACAGGTACACACAGGTACTCATAGGTACACATAGGTACTCATAGGTACACACAGGTACTCACAGGTACTCACAGGTACACACAGGTACTCACAGGTACCCACAGGCACACACAGGTACACACAGGTACTCACAGGCACACACAGGTGCTCACAGGTACTCACAAGTACACAGAGGTACTCACAGGTACACACAGGTACTCTTAGGTACTCACAAGTACACACAGGTACTCACACGTTTTCACAGATACACACAGGTACCCACAGGTACCCACAGGTACACACAGGCACTCACAGGTACACACAGGTACTCACACGTTTTCACAGATACATACAGGTACTCACAGGCACCCACAGGTACACACAGGTACACACAGGTGCTCACAGGTACTCACAAGTACACAGAGGTACTCACAGGTACACACAGGTACACACAGGTACTCACAGGTACTTACAGGTTTTCACAGGTACGCACAGGTACTGACATGTCTGCCTCTGCTGTCTCTATTGTCTCTGCTGTCTCTGTTTTGTGTGTTGCCTCTGCTGTCTTTCTGTCTCTGCTCTCTCTAATCTCTCTGTGTTCTCTAATGTCTCTGCTGCCTCTAATGTCTCTGCTTGTTCGTTTGTCTCTGCTGTCTCTAGTATCTCTGTTGTCTCTAATGTCTCTGATGTCTCTACTAGTTCTTTTGTCTCTGATATATCTGTTTTCTCTAATGTCTCTGTTGTCTCTAATGTCTCTGCTGGTTCTATTGTCTCTGTTGTCTTTAATGTTTCTGCAGTCTCTAATGTCTCTGCTGGTTCTATTGTCTCTGTTGTCTTCAATGTTTCTGCAGTCTCTGCTGTCTCTGCTGGTTCTAATTGCTGTGCTCTCTGTGTTGTGTCTGTTGCCTCTGCTGTCTATCTGTCTCCTCTGTCTCTTATGTCTCTGCTGTCTCTAATAAGTCTGTTGTCTCTAATGTCTCTGATGTCTCTACTAGTTCTTTTGTCTCTGGTATATCTGTTTTCTCTAATGTCTCTGTTGCCTCTAATGCCTCTGCTGGTTCTATTGCCTCTGTTGTCTCTAATGTCTCTGCTGTCTCTATTGTCTCTGCTTGTAATTTCTGTGCTGTCTCTGTTATGTCTGTTGCCTCTGCTGTCTGTCTGTCTCCTCTGTCTTGGATGTCTCTGGTGGTTCTATTGTCTCTGCTGGTACTAATGTCCGTGCTGTCTTTGTTGTGTCTGTTGCTTCTGCTGTCTATCTGTCTCTTCTGTCTCTGCTGTCTCTAATGTCTCTGCTGGTTCTATTGTCTTTGCTGTCTCTAATGTCTCTGCTGGTTCTATTGTCTCTGTTGTTTCTAATGTCTCTACTGTCTCAATTGCCTCTGCCGCTTCTTTTGTTTCTGCTGTCTCTATTATCTCTGCTGGTTCTAATTTCTGTGCTGTCTCTGTTGTGTCTGTTGCCTCTGCTGTCTATCTGTCTCTGCTGTCTCAAATGTCTCTGGTGGTTCTATTGTCTCTGCTGTCTCTATTGTCTCTACTGGTTCTAATTTCTGTGCTGTCTCTGTTGTGTCTGTTGCCTCTGCTGTCTGTCTGTCTCTAATGTCCCTGCTGATTCTAATGTCTCTGTTGTCTCTATTGTCTGCTGTCTCTAATGTCTCTGCTGTCTTTAATGTCTCTGCTGGTTCTATTGTCTCTTCTGTCTCTGTTGTCTCTTCTGTCTTTAATGTTTCTACTGTCTCTGCTGTCTCCAATGTCTCTGTTGTCTCTAATGTCTCTACTTTCTCTGCTGTCCCTAATGTCTCTGATGGTTCTATTGTCTCTTCTGTCTCTAATGTCTCTGCTGTCTCTGCTGTCTTTGCTGTGTCTACTTTCTCTGCTGTCTACAATGCCTCTGCTGTCTCTAATATCTCTGCTGGTTTTATTGTTTCTTCGGTCTCTAATGTCTCTACTGTCTTTGCTGTCTCTGCAGTTGCTAATGTCTCTACTGTCTCTTCTGTCTCTAATGTCTCTGCTGCCTCTAATGTCTCTCCGGTGTCCTTGTGTCTCCAGGTTGGAGGATGTTGGTTTGGAGAAGTTCTCAGTTCCCGTCCTCTTCACCAGGATCTTCATCCCTGCTGCGTTCCTTCTGGTACGTGTCAGACGTTCTGTAGAACCCAGCTGTTGAGTGTGACCATGTTCTGTCTTCCTGTCCTTGCGTTCCCCTGTCCTCCTCTTCTTCTGTGTGTCTATCCTCCTGTCCTTCCATCCTTCTTTCTTCCCGTAATTCTGTCCTCCCATCCTTCTGTCCTTGTGTCCTTTTGTGTGTCTATCTTCCTGTCCTCCCTTCCTCCTGTCCTTCTGTCCTCCTTTCATTTTGTCCCCCAGTCCTCCTGTTCTTCTGTGCGTCTATCCTCCTGTCCTCTCATCCTTCTGTCCTCCCGTCCTTCTGTGCTTCTGTCCTCCTGTCCTCTTGTCCTCCTGTCCTTCTGTGCTTCTGTTCTCTTGTCCTTCTGTCCTTCTGTGCTTCTGTTCTCTTGTCCTTCTGTGCTTCTGTCCTCCTGTGCTTCTGTCCTTCTGTCCTCCTGTTCTCCTGTCCTTCTGTGCTTCTGTCCTTCTGTGCTTCTG